CACCATCCCGCTCCGTGAGGGAGCGGCGAGCACCATCCCGCTCCGTGAGGGAGCGGCGAGCACCATCCCGCTCCCGGAGGGGACGGCGAGCACCATCCCGCTCCGTGAGGGAGCGGCGAGCACCATCCCGCTCTCTGAGGGGACGGCGAGCACCATCCCGCTCCCTGAGGGAACAGCGAGCTCCTCGCCGTCCCGTTCCTCCCTCATCCCGCTCCATGAGGGACTAGCGAGCTCTTTGCCGTCCCGTTTCTTCCTCATCCTGCTCCGTGAGGGAAGTAGAGGCATCCCCGTCTCGTTCAGCCACCATCCCGCTCCTTGAGGGAATAGCGACCTCATCGCTGTCCCGTTCATCCCCCCATGGGCTCTCTGAGGGAGCAGCGACCACATCCCCGTCCCTTTCATCCTCTCATCCTGCTTCCCGAGGGAATAGCGACCTCATCGCTGTCCCCTTCAGTCACTGTCCCGCTCCTGAGGGAACAGCGACCACATCCCCGTCCCATTCATCCACCATCCCGCTTCACGAATAGCGACCTCATCGCCGTCCCGTTCATCCTGTCAGGAAAATTGATCCGCGTACACCAGAGGTTTATGTCCGAAAAGGAGACAAAGGAGTCCTGTAACTTTATTCGAATAGAGGGAGAGATCACGGCCATTTCCCAAGAAATTGTTAGAGGACGCAGCCTCCTTTTTATCCTAATTTCCAGGCTGCATTTCCCTCTCTCTTCCCCCATTGGCTGAGGTACTTGACAGGTACATTTCCGAATCACCTAATATCGCCTGAATCGCCCTTTCTAATGTGTACCCCCCTCCCATTTCTTTTTCCTTGTGTTTTCTCTAAATCCAGAGATTTAGCACAGTCTTGAGTGACTAACAGTCTCTGTCAACTAGTGAAATTTATGGTTCCCAACATTGTTTCTTTCACCTCCCAGTATCTGGCTTTATCTACCATCACGCCCACAGCTTGTTTGTAAAGACACCTCCTTATTCCTCTCAATCCCCTCATCCCACTTCCCAAAGGAATAGCGACCTCATCGCTGTCCAGTCCATCTGCTCATCCTACCCCCAGAGGGAACAGCAACCTCCTCGCCATTCCATCCATCCATCCATCCATCCATCCATCCATCCATCCATCATCCATCCATCCATCCATCATCCATCCATCCATCCTTCATCCATCCATCCATCCATCCATCCATCCATCCATCCATCCATCATCCATCCATCATCCTTCCATCCATCCATCCATCCATCCATCATCCATCCATCATCCATCCATCCATCATCCATCCATCCATCCATCCATCCATCATCCATCCATCATCCTTCCATCCATCCATCCATCATCCATCCATCCATCATCCATCCATCCATCATCCATCCATCATCCTTCCATCCATCCATCCATCATCCATCATCCATCATCCATCCATCCATCCATCCATCCATCCATCCATCCATCCATCCATCATCCATCCATCCATGCATCCATCCATCCATCATCCATCCATCATCCTTCCATCCATCCATCCATCATCCATCCATCCATGCATCCATCCATCCATCATACATCCATCATCCATCCATCCATCCATCATCCATCCATCCATCCATCCATCCATCCATCCATCCATCCATCATCCATCATCCATCATCCATCATCCATCCATCCATCCATCCATCCATCCATCCATCCATCCATCATCCATCCATCCATCCATCATCCATCCATCCATCTATCATCCATCCATCCATCATCTATCCATCCATCATCCATCCATCCATCCATCCATCCATCCATCCATCCATCATCCATCCATCCATCCATCCATCCATCCATCCATCCTCCATCCCTCCCTCTTCCATCCCTCCCTCTCTCAAATGGCCATTGCTAAAGGTTATCAAGGCCAAGGTGTCACATGCCTGCCATTAACCCCAGAGGAGCTGTTCTAGGACAGGATGGCTTTTCCTCTGCCACCAGTGCAGCCAGTAGAGCTGGAGGGGGTCCCTGCATCCAGTAGAAAGGGGAGAACAGCAGGTTGGCCCTAACCTCAGACACCTCTGGGATCACAAAAATTTTCCTTAAGCAGATGTGCCCTTGAGAAAGGACAGGATGTGACAATCAGATACACAATAAATGAAAATCTGCATATTTACCATGCACAGCAGCAAAAGGAAAAAATGAATATGCACTTGGATTTATGAGTCGCGTACATTGTAATGGTCACTTAATCACAACTCGTAACTTCCTACTACCCTCAGAATTAATTTCTGGTTTTGACACTGCAAAAAGCAAAGAGCTATGGTGGATACAGCTGAATGGGAATGACTGGAATCTGGTGTTGCAAGGAGAATTTTAGCAGATGCCTATTGCAAGGGGGAAGAGAGAAGCGTGTCTCTCTGCATAGATGGAACACATTAGAATATGCCACGAAGGGAACATACTGTGACCCACATTTACAAAACAGGAATGTCAAACTGTGTTCTCATCAGCCCTCCCCTAAAGAAACCATTTGGTTTAGTGAAATTAGGTTGGACAGGCTATCCAATGTGGCTTTTGTTTTTTGGGGGGTCTATATCTAGAGCTGTGCAGCGCTTTGCTTTGTTTAACCGTCAGCAGCTTTCCTTACATGAAGAACTTTGCAAGCTCAGTGTTACAGAATTACCCAGAAAACAAAAAACTTTCCAGAACTGCTTTTGGTTTTAGCTGGGAACTGCTTCCTCCACGGCAGCTGTGGACAGGGGCTTTTCTGTTGCAAAGGGAACCATAATGCCAAAAGAGCCAGGCTGAGATGGTCACCCCATGTCAATGAACCCCCTCATGACCCTTTGCCAGCTCATGGCCCCACTTGCTGAGTGTTTTGTAAATGAAATGCTTAGAAAGCTCGCAGGGCCTCCCACAGCACTGTCTACAACTCCTGGGAATCTGTCATGGCACGGGGCACCATTTGGCTCTCGAGAGGGTTAATGGAAAAGATTCTGAAGAGACCCAGGACAGAAAATCTGCAGGATTCCTTCTCTGAGCCCCTTTACCCACCTGTGCTGTCATCGTACACCACTGTGGCTGACCTCCACTTCAAGTACTGCACGAGGTCCAGGATGGCATGGCTCAGGGAAGCATAGTCAGGATACAGGTTGACATAGAAAGTGTCCTTGTTATCCAAAGGGTGATGCTTCCATCGGAGCTGTATGTGGGGGACTTCCAGGGCATTGCAGATAGACTGGACAGCATTGGTGCAAGAGCCTTGGGAAGGTCCAAATATTGCAACAACCCCCAGAGCGAGCTGGTCACAGGCTGGAGGGGGAAAGGGAGGGATGTCAGCAAAGCCTTGGACAGGGGATAAGCGTGGGGCATCCCTGGGCACAGCCCAGACACTTCTGGGCACTGGCCCAGCTCTGATATTGGGTAATTACAACAGTGATGAGGCACAGAGAGAGAGCACGAGTTATGCCAGGTGGGTCTGAGGCACAGAGGAGTGCCAAGCTCCTCTGAGGGAGCCTCTACCACAAAACCATCTGAAAAGGGACAGGGGGTCACTGGGCTGGCTGGGAGCCGATAACCCCCTCCTGGTGATGTCTCTCCAATAGCCGCCAGCTCAGGCAGCAGGTTTCCTTTCTCCACAGCCAGAATCAAACTGCATGAGCCTGCAGGTCACCAGCTCACAGCCTTTGCTGTGCAGTCCCTTCCTTTCAGCACTTCAAGTGTGCTGCTGTTATCCAGTAATCAAAAGTGACTGTTATTAAGAGAGCAGAACATCCGTGTGATGGATGTGAACACTGCCGGGGATGCAGTGACACAAACACAGGCATGGCCTCCAGGCCTCTGCTCAGGATTAGAGCAAACTCTGAAAGGAGTTTTGTGAGGTTTCAGAAGGAAAAAAGGTAGTTGTTCCCCTTGTATTAAAATGCCTCTGGAAGGTCAGCTCCAGCAGGAGCTCTCATCCAGATCACTGGTGAGAGCAGGACAGAACAAGCTGCTGGTCTGGAAACCAGACCTTTCTTACACTGAATAAATGGCCACAAAGCTGCTCAGAAGTTTGCTCTGCTCTTACCTTTCTTAGTTGCTTCAAAGCTGTCGTGGAAGTGTATCCTCTGGATGTCATAGGTTAGGGTTGTGTTGGGCAACAAAGTTCTGTTCCTGTTAATGATGTTGGCGGAGAAGCGGAAGGCTTGTTCCTCAGCACTCATCACCTGCGTGTTGGGGCCATCTGCGTACTCAAAGATTCCCCCTGCAAGACAAAAATAATTCCACCTCTGAGCCACAGTTTGTTCCACAAACTTATGCAGCAAGGATGAGGAAACTCTTGGAACGTTTGCAGGTGGAGCAGGGTTTGCTCGAGGACCTGTCCTGTACTGAAATGAAGACATGAAGATTTGCGTTTTTCTTATATCCTGGTCTATGAGAATGTTCAGGGTGGCAGCTTTGTGGGGCAGTAAGAGGTGGTTTAAAGTCTTGGAATATTTTTATGAGCCAGATAAGTGGCTTCACATAAAACTTTAGGACCAGACCATGGGAAGTGGACAGGAAGTGCAGGGAGGCTCCAGGTCTGTGCTCTGAGGAGTAACTGGGTACAAAACTGTCACTGTCCTCCTCTCAAAATCCTCCTGCCTCATCACCCACCTCTGGTCCTCGCACAGGAGTCAGGCAGGCCAGTGCTGCTGCTGGCTATTTTCAGTGCCATTTTCAGTCCCTTTCTCCTTTTTTGTTGCTCCTCAGGTTTAGTTCTCCAAGTTTTTAATTCAGACCAGCAGAGATTTCTGGATTTGCCTACCCTACAGCTCCTCTGCTCAGTAATGCACATCTCTGATGCAGCTTTCCTGTGTTCAGAAGTTGTTAATGCCATTACACCTCCCCAAGGGCAACAAGCTCATGTCACAGCATGGCTGGGTTTCTTGGCTGTGTGTCTGTGAGTCTTGTCCTCAGCTCCCACTGACAGCCACTCTAATTGGAGTGACTTGGTGCAGGCATGGGTTATGTAATGATGTGTCCTTGTCTCCAAGATGTAAGAGCCACTCTGTGCCCTCGCAGAACCATGGAAAGACACAAACCTTGTTCTTACTTATTCAAAAGTAAACCAAAATAATTAATGGATGAGCGAAATAAGCAAGTACAATTGGTAACAGATGGTCTCAGGGTTCATTAGCAGAAGGAAAATCTTCCTCTTCAATTTAAGATAGTCCTCAAATGTTTTGTTGTAGACAACAGATGTCTGCTCAGCCCTCCTGGCTTTCAGACAATGCCAGGAATCCTTCTCCAGCAGCCAGAGCACATTTTCTATAGTTCTGTGGCAGTTTGGTGTTAGCCAGGAGTTCCAGTTTGGCCAGAGCCAAGCTGACAGCTTTGCTGATGGCCATGATCTGGGTGTCCTCCTGGGAATGCAACCAGAGCCATGGACTGGGTGAAGCACAGGAGTGATATTTGGAGATGTTCTCAGCAAGGAAGCAGAAGGACTTGCAAAAGGCCTCGGACTTTCTGCTCCCCCTGATTGTGACAAGTCCCTTTCCTCCTCTGCAGTCTTTGTGCATCCACATCCACAAATGAATGTGGGAATTCATTTACATTCACAGACATGAAAAAAGTTTGAGCTGTTCCCTGTATGTCTCTGCTAGAAAAAAACACTGAACTCAGTGCTAATCTTGGCAATAGGCAGAAGAATAAAGAAAAAAAGAAGCTGAATGCTCATTCTGGAGTGTCATTTCAGTCTCACGTGATTTTCAGCCAGTCACTCATGGGCAGGTTTTCAATCCAGAATGCTGAGCAGTGTAGGCAGGAATGTAGCAGAATTGTCCACGTGCCTCATTCTTACTGGATTATGCCAAAACATTTGGGTTTTGACTGGTGCAAAGAAAATTATTCATCCACATCAAAATTTGCATATACTGGCAGCTCAATTTAAGTTTCTTAGGGCAGAAGAAAGTTCATCTCAATATTACATCAGACACAATAAACGAAACTGAAGTGAGTGTGAGATTCATCCTATCTTTCTGTTCAAAGCTTCACTGTCCTGTCCAGACTGTTTAGCCAGGTATAGAAAGGCTGGCTATGTGGATTACTGGTGCTTGATCCTAAATAAATTCCCATTCCAGACATCCAACTGGATATAACAAGTTTTTTGACAGGGAAGACTTTTCTGTGCAGCCACCCAGTACCTTGGGCTCAGGGCCAGGCAATGAGAGAGCTGACAGCAGCAGGGATGGATTTCCATGTATTTCCCATTGTCAGGAACACACCTGGAATACTCTGGGACACTGTCTGCTGAGGTGCTGAGGGCAGCCACGACGTGCCCCAGGCTGGTCTCTGCTCAGAAACTGGAGAGCCTGGGAGCACCTGATGTCAGATCTGTGCATGGATACATGGCACATCCTGTTGGATCTTTACATCCCTCTTGGCTGTGTGCCGCTCCTTCAGAGACGTTCATTCCCATCATTATTTAAAGAGCCTAATAACTGGCTTGAAACAGCTGATTAATGCGTAATCTTCATCATGATTACACAGCATAACTGGCATTAATTTGCAAAGCCAGCTAATTATGAAAATAATTGTTGCAGTTCTTCCATTTGAGCAAAGTGGAGATGCTCAGCTCATGGCATTGAGAGCACAAGGGATGTGACATCAGCTGGCTGATGGCCAGGCTGGGGGGCCCCAGGGGTTCCCTGCAAGCCTCAGCAGGAGACATGAAAGAACAGGGGTGGGCAATCTCCTGCTGGGGGCTGGACAGCTGTGGGCAGCTCCTCTGCAAGTGATCCCACAGGGGCCTTGGGCAGAAACCTCATCAATCTCAGAGACAAGAGTCCATGGGTGTGAAAAGTCCACAACAAATCAGTCTCCAGTTTTGTACACCACCTATCGACAAATCCCACCCAAGAGAGTAAAACTGAAGCTCCTTCAGGGTTGCTGTCACTCTCTAAACCTCTGCCCTGTTTTGGGAGCTAGTTCAAATGTCTTGGAGATCACTGGATGCTCTGTGGTGCTCGTGGCCTTTCCCTCTATTTCCTGTCTGTACAGGTCTCAGCTCCTCATTCCTTCTTTCTTCCCCTCCTGTGGCTTGGTAGAGAGATAAAAGATGGTTGTGGCAAGGTCTGTCATGCTTTGTGACATCCTCCTGAGGTCGGTGAGAGGATTTGCTCCCTGATTTTTGTTTGCCGTTCCTTGGCCAGTCAATAGAGCCGAGGACTCCCCACTGCAGAGCCATGCACCACTCAACACATGCTGAAGTTTATCAATTAGGGTTGACTTTGTTTGCATAGATATTTTTCCTTGAAAACCTTCTTTTTACGCCATGCTGGGGCTACCTTTGGTGCAGTGCGATCTGGGACTGGGAGTCAGCCTTGTAGGAGATGCCTCACACAAGCTGTTAATGAAGGCTTTCAACACTTATCACTTATTTTACATATTTTTTGATGAAGTAATCCATTATTAGATCTGACTTCTTGGATTTTAAAATCAATCCCAGGCAAGTTAAATAATTATTCAGTTGTCTTTTACTCTTAAAGCAGACTAATTGCTCTCTGGAGAATGTCAGCCAGTATATGGGAAAACACACTAATTACAATCAACTTCATGTCTGACTGCTTTATATTGTTTTATTTGATGACCTTGACATTTCTGCTAAGGTGAGGAGTTTTCAACATCTGAAATGAGATTCCAGAACAAATGCCTGAAACTCCCTTTGGGTCTAGACCAGAGGAACAATAGTGGGGCTGGGCAGGCAGGAGGAGCCCCCCTAGGACAAGGGAAAGTTTGGCTGAAAACCACAGAGAGAGTTTCACTCGGAGTAGCAGAACTTGAGCCTCTCTTCAGGGCAAAACCTGCATCACACAGAACACCTAAAATCCCATTGACAGCAATCAGAACAAGCCCAGGTCTGTCTGCATCCAGCAAGACTGCACTGCATCCTTCTGTCTCAAGGGATGGTGTGGGAAGATGTTGGGAATGGCCCCAGGATGGAGTTGGAAAGACACCTGGACAATGGGCTGGGAACCCTCCTCCACTACCCCAGTGATCCTGGAACATGGGCTCAGTGCCATTGTAGTTATTTTTAGCTTTGTCAAGAGCTAAGTCAAAAAAGTCATAGTATTTTAGGTTTTTCATTTCTCCCCTCTTTTCCTTTTTACCAAAACAAACAGCTTCATTTTCAGAAAGAAAATTCCAACAGCCCTCAGTGTGTGGCGTGATCTCTTATCTTTTACTCCTTATAAATCAAGGAGTTATTTAGCTTTGAAGAACAACTATTTCTGATAACACTTTTCTCTCCCCCGCTGACAGTGTTGTTCACACATTTAGACAGCTCTGACAGCCTCTTTCCATGTGACATCCAGGAAGAAACACCTGGTTTGAGACAGCTCTTACCAAGGATGGAGCCAGCAGAGCTCCTCAGGGACATGGGAGCTCCTGTTCCCTCTCACAGCCCTTCCATGCCCAGAGCTGTATTTCTTGTGGATTTTTTTCTCTGAGGTTATAAAATGCTTTTGCTGTTGCCTTCTGAGGCATGGGATTTGCCATCTTCTGAGGACAAATCACTCTGTTTTGGGAACAGTACTAGCAAATGGGTTGTTGAGGACAGGTACACAGAATTTAGTGACTTTTCCTGCAGGATGCTGCTCCACAGGTCCCTGAGGCAGAGAATGGAGAGTCTGGGGAGAGGCTTTCTCACAGAGGCTTGGAGAACCTGACACTGCTACTTGGCTGACAAGGCCAGTGGGGAGAATCTCACTGTCATGGCCCAGGTCCCCTGAGAGCTGCTGTTTATACAGCAGCATTATATAGAGAAATGAGATAACACTGTTGGGAAGTGAAAGAAAGTTCCCTGGAGCATGAGGTTGTGGCTGGGAATGGCACTTCAACTCCCAGAGCCTGCCCATCCTGGGGGACTGTGGCAGTCTCAGGTGTAATAATAAGGATGCAGAGAGAGCAGGGAAATCCAGAAGGCAATAAATATCAGGAAAACAAAAAGGGAAAACAGTGACAGATTTATTCACAAGAAATCTCTCCTTGCACCTTCCCCCAAGGAGCTGCTACCGTGAGATGATCCACGAGTGTGCTTCAAGGAGCTGGTCCTGTGCTCAGCTTGCCATGAAGCAGAACCCCCAGATCTGCTGCTGATGCCAGCTGGTCCCCTAATAGAAACAAACCCACCCTATGTGGGTTTGTTGAGTGAGGAAAGCAGTGCCAGGAGCGCTGGGGGCTCCCACCCTTCCAGAGCCCTTGTTACCCCTGGGAAGCC